GGAACTGAACTAGACTGAACTAGAACTGAACTAGAACTGAACTAGAACTAAACTAGAACTGAACTAGAACTGAACTAGAACTGAACTAGAACTGAACTAGAACTGACCTAGACTGAACTAGAACTAGAACTGAACTAGAACTGAACTAGAACTGAACTAGAACTGAACTAGAACTGAACTAGAACTGAACTAGAACTGAACTAGAACTGAACTAGAACTGAAACTAAAACTTAACCAGAACTGAACTAGAACAGAACTAGAACAGAACTAGAACAGAATTAGAACAGAACTAGAACAAACTAGAACAGAACTAGAACAGAACTAGAACAGAACTAGAACAGAACTAGAACAGAACTAGAACAGAACTAGAACCGAATTAGAACAGAACTAGAACAGAACTAGAACAGACTAGAACAGAACTAGAACAGAACTAAAACAGAACTAGAACAGAACTAGAACAGAACTAGAACAGAACTAGAACAGAACTAGAACAGAACAAGAACAGAACTAGAACAGAACTAGACAGAACTAGAACAGAACTAGAACAGAACTAGAACAGAACTAGAACAGAACTAGAACAGAACTAGAACAGAACTAGAACAGAACTAGAACAGAACTAGAACAGAACTAGAACAGAACTAGAACAGAACTAGAACAGAACTAGAACAGAACTATCCAACAGAACTAGAACAGAACTAGAACAAAACTAGAACAGAACTAGAACAGAACTAGAACAGAACTAGAACAGAACTAGAACAGAACTAGAACAAACTAGAACAGAACTAGAACAGAACTAGAACAGAACTAGAACAGAACTAGACAGAACTAGAACAGAACTAGAACAGAACTAGAACAGAACTAGAACAGAACTAGAACAGAACTAGAACAGAACTAGAACAGAACTAGAACAGAACTAGAACAGAACTAGAACAGAACTAGAACAGAACTAGAACAGAACTAGAACAGAACTAGAACAGAACTAGAACAAGAACTAGAACAGAACTAGAACCAGAACTAGAACAGAACTAGAACAGAACTAGAACAGCAACTAGAACAGAACTAGAACAGAACTAGAACAGAACTAGAACAGAACTAGAACAGAACTAGACCAGAACTAGAACAGAACTAGAACAGAACTAGAACAGAACTAGAACAGAACTAGACAGACTAGAACAGAACTAGAACAGAACTAGAACAGAACTAGAACAGAACTAGAACAGAACTAGAACAGAACTAGAAACAGAACTAGAACAGAACTAGAACAGAACTAGAACAGAACTAGAACAGAACTAGACAGAACTAGAACAGAACTAGAACAGAACTAGAACAGAACTAGAACAGAAACTAGAACAGAACTAGAACAGAACTAGAACAGAACTAGAACAGAACTAGAACAGAACTAGAACAGAACTAGAACAGAACTAGAACAGAACTAGAACAGAACTAGACAGAACTAGAAAGAACTAGAACAGAACTAGAACAGAACTAAGAATCGAAGAATAGAACAGAACTAGAACAGAACTAGAAACAGAACTAGAACAGAACTAGAACAGAACTAGAACGAACTAGAACAGAACTAGAATCAGAACTAGAACAGAACTTAGAACAGAACTAGAACAGAACTAGAACAGAATAGAACAGAACTAGAACAGAACTAGAACAGAACTAGAACAGAACTAGAACAGAACTAGAACAGAACTAGAACAGAACTAGAACAGAACTAGAACAGAAACTAGAACAGAACTAGAACAGAACTAGAAAAGAACTAGAACAGAACTAGAACAGAACTAGAAACAGAACTAGAACAGAACTAGAACAGAACAGAACAGAACTAGAACAGAACTAGAACAGAACTAGAACAGAACAGAACAGAACTAGACAGAACTAGACAGAACAGAACTAGAACAGAACTAGAACAGAACTAGAACAGAACTAGAACAGAACTAGAGCAGAACTAGTACAGAACTAGTACAGAACTAGATCAGAACTAGAACAGAACTAGAACAGGACTAGAACAGAACTAGAACAGAACTAGAACAGAATTAGAACTAGAACAGAACTAGAACAGAACTAGAAAGAACTAGAACAGAACTAGAACAGAACTAGAACAGAACTAGAACAGAACTAGAACAGAACTAGAACAGAAATAGAACAGAACTAGAACAGAACTAGAACAGAACTAGAACAGAACTAGAACAGAACTAGAACAGAACTAGAAAGAACTAGAACTAGAGCAGAACTAGAACAGAACTAGAACAGAACTAGAACAGAACTAGAACAGAACTAGAACAGAACTAGAACAGAACTAGAACAGAACTAGAACAGAACTAGAACAGAACTAGAACAGAACAAGAACAGAACTAGAACAGAACTAGAACAGAACTAGAACAGAACTAGAACAGAACTAGAACAGAACTAGAACAGAACTAGCAACAGAACTAGAACGAACTAGAACAGAACTAGAACAGAACTAGAACAGAACTAGAACAGAACTAGAACAGAACTAGAAACAGAACTAGACAGAACTAGAACAGAACTAGACAGAACTAGAACAGAACTAGAACAGAACTAGAAACAGAACAGAACTAGAACAGAACTAGAACAGAACTAGAACAGAACTAGAACAGAACTAGAACAGAACTAGAACAGAACTAGAACAGAACTAGAAACAGAACTAGAACAGAACTAGAACAGAACTAGAACAGAACTAGAACAGAACTAGAACAGAAACTAGAACAGAACTAGAACAGAACTAGAACAGAACTAGAACAGAACTAGAACAGAACTAGAACAGAACTAGAACAGAACTAGAACAGAACTAGAACAGAACTAGAACAGAACTAGAACAGAACTAGAACAGAATCTAACTAGAACAGAACTAGAACAGAAACTAGACAGAACTAGAACAGAACTAGAACAACTAGAACAGAACTAGAACAGAACTAGAACAGAACTAGAACAGAAATAGAACAGAACTCAGAACAGAACTAGAACAGAACTAGAACAGAACTAGAACAGAACTAGAACAGAACTAGAACAAAACTAGAACAGAACTAGAACAGCACTAGACAGAACTAGAACAGAACTAGAACAGAACTAGAACAGAACTAGAACAGAACTAGAACAGAACTAGAACAGAACTAGAACAGAACTAGAACAGAACTAGAACAGAACTAGAACAGAACTAGAACAGAACTAGAACAGAACTAGACAGACAGAACTAGAACAGAACTAGAACAGACTAGTACAGAACTAGAACAGAACTAGAACAGAACTAGAACAGAACTAGAACAGGACTAGAACAGAACTAGAACAGAACTAGAACAGAACTAGAACAGAACTAGAACAGAACTAGAACAGAACTAGAACAGAACTAGAACAGAACTAGAACAGAACTAGAAAACTAGAACAGAACTAGAACAGAACTAGAACAGAACTAGAACAGAACTAGAACAGAACTAGAACAGAACTAGAACAGAACTAGAACAGAACTAGAACAGAAATAGAACAGAACTAGAACAGAACTAGAACAGATCTAGAACAGAACTAGAAGAGAACTAGAAGAGAACTAGAACAGAACTAGAACAGAACTAGAACAGAACTAAAACAGAACTAGAACTGTACAAGAACTGAACTATTGAATCCTAGAATTCTGAATAGAGGTAGAAATAATCTTGAGTTAAGCCTTTCATTTGCATTCAAATCCTTGAACAAAGTGTTTAAAATATTCGTGCAGTTGTTTTACCATGTTAAAGTGTAATGTGATAATGTTATTATAATTGTATTCAGAGTATATGTTGTATAGACATAAATTATAAATAAATTATTGTTGTAATTAAAAAATATTTCAAATAAATACATAAAACCAAACTTAAATTAAGAAACTATGTATTAAGAAATATTATGTATATAGGATGTATTAAAAAATACATAAAACCAAACTTAAATTAAGAAACTATGTATTAAGAAATATTATGTATATAAGATGTATTAAATGTTTAAGTTAATTAAGTAGATATTTCTAGTATTGTGATGTATATAATGTTTAAGTATAGGTATGTATATATAGTATATTATGTATGTATAAAGGGAATTTATTAATATGTATTTTCTGGTAAAAGTAAAAAGTTTGTTGTTTAAATTATAACAAAAACATTTAAAGTTAAGGGTAAAGCATTAAAAATTGTCCATTTCAGAAAAACCCCTAAAATCCTGCTTAAAAATTTCCAATGAACAAGATCTTAGCACCATTTTTATTAATATACGAATTGTACTCAAAACCATGACAATTTTATGTCGAATAGGGATTTCACAGTTTTATTTAAACATTTAAACCCTTTCAATGGAAAAACCTAAAGCCCTACTTTTGGATCTCACTATTATAACAAAATAATGCTTACACCTAAAAGTAGGCTTTAGATTTTGTTATTCTCTCATCCTAAATAACATGTTAGGTTTTATTGCTTAAACAAAACTGTGACATCTCTTAATATTCTTTGTGTTTTATTTAAACAAATAATAAAAAGAACAAATTATTTAATAAAAAAATAAAATATTATTCAATATTATATTCATTATTTCTCTAAGGGGTTTTTATAAATAATTTACATATTTAAATTTATGTATATAAAACATTAACTTTCTACATTTAAACAACACCTTTTTAAAAAAATTAACTTAAAAATTCAATTGTTTAAATTTGAATTAATTATAAAATAATATCAAACGAAAGTAAAAACTTAAAACTATTTATGAAAAACTACTAGATACTGTATTGTTTATATTAATGGTTAAGTAAAAAATCTTTGTTATTAAAAAAAATATTTAATTTTATAAGGATTTTTGACACCTTATGTTAAGATTGTTTATTATTTTCAATATATATTTTTGATATAGTTGTAGAGTAGTATATTTTTAAAATATATATATTTATATATAGATAAATATTTTATATAAATAATAGTTATAATTCATAAAAAAAAACTGAAATATTTACTCACCATATTGTTTCGTACGGACGGGTATGGGTGGTGTTGTGGCACCTTCACCTCTTTGAGAACGAGCTGCCAGCCAAATGTAGTATAAAGTATCAGGATACAAACCATCAAGCGTATAGGATTCAGTATTGGAAATTCGCCTGTTAGGGGTGCGAAAAAGTGGAAGAAAATTGAGAATGTTAAAGAAAATCGAAACAAGAATTAGAATATGGACTGAATTCTGTGCCTAAGAAATGAACTGGAACTAAAACAGAACTGAACTAGAACTGAACTAGAACTGAACTAGAACTGAACTAGAACTGAACTAGAACTGAACTAGAACTAAACTAGAACTAAACTAGAACTAAACTAGAACTAAACTAGAACTAAACTAGAACTAACTACTAGAACTGAACTAGACCTGAACTAGAACTGAACTAGAACTGAACTAGAACTGAACTAGAACTGAACTAGTACTGAACTAGAACTGAACTAGAACTGAACTAGAACTGAACTAGAACTGAACTTGAACTTGAACTGAACTAGAACTGAACTAGAACTGAACTAGAACTGAACTAGAACTGAACTAGAACTGAACTAGAACTGAACTAGAACTGAACTAGAACTGAACTAGAACTGAACTAGAACTGAACTAGAACTGAACTAGAACTGAACTAGAACTGAACTAGAACTGAACTAGAACTGAACTAGAACTGAACTAGAACTAGAACTGAACAAGAACTGAACTAGAACTGAACAAGAACTGAACTAGAACTGAACTAGAACTGAACTAGAACTGAACTAGAACTGAACTAGAACCGAACTAGAACTGAACTAGAACTGAACTAGAACTAGAACTGAACAAGAGCTGAACTAGAACTGAACAAGAACTGAACTAGAACTGAACTAGAACTGAACTAGAACTAAACTAGAACTAAACTAGAACTGAACTAGAACTGAACTAGAACTGAACTAGAACTGAACTAGAACTGAACTAGAACTGAACTAGAACTGAACTAAAACTGAACTAGAACTGAACTAGAACTGAACTAGAACTGAACTAGAACTGAACTAGAACTGGACTAGAACTGAACTAGAACTAGAACTGAACTAGAACTGAACTAGAACTGAACTAGAACTGAACTAGAACTGAACTAGAACTAGAACTGAACTAGAACTGAACTAGAACTGAACTAGAACTGAACTAGAACTGAACTAGAACTGAACTAGAACTGAACTAGAACTGAACTAGAACTGAACTAGAACTGAACTAGAACTGAACTAGAACTGAACTAGAACTGAACTAGAACTGAACTAGAACTGAACTAGAACTGAACTAGAACTGAACTAGAACTGAACTAGAACAGAACTAGAACTGAACTAGAACTGAACTAGAACTGAACTAGAACTAGAACTGAACTAGAACTGAAAGTGAATTCAAACTCTAATATAACCGAACTAGATCACACTATATGAAAGCAGCAATAACTTTTCTAGATCCTCTGTTAACCTTTCATTTATAATTTTTAATAGAAATATTATTTTTATCAAATTAAATTTCCGCTTAAACATTATGGAATCACATAAAAAAATTAAATTTCAAATAAACCATTAATTTATTTATTTTAATGAAATTTCCTGTATATTTATTTTGTTCTTGCCACCAGCTGCGAACATCATTATCATCTACACTAACATGACACCGAAATGTGATGATAATGAAGCTAAAGGTGTTGTCGTACTCACTTGTGATGATCCTGTTTGGCGTATGTATCATTCCAGTATAATTCATAATGAACAATATTTTCACTGGAATGTGTCGGTTTGGACCATTGCAATGTAACTGCGGTCTCGCCGATATCGGTGGCCCGGAAATTGCTGGGTTGCGAAGGGACACCTGCATTAAAACGCAGCCATCAATCCATTTTTATTTTATTGTTTTTGTTGGGGTAGTTATTGTTGTTGTTGGAGTTGTTGATGTTTGCGGTTCAGAGTTCATGATAAAAACCAGATGGATGTTGATGATGTAAAATTGTTTATATTGATTTATATGCCAAAATGTAAAAGTACATGTCCACGCATTAAAAAGAGAGCAATAGTGTGAGAGAGAAAGAGTGAAAGGGGAGAGACAGAGATGATGACAATGTTAATAAAAATTCACAAACGGAAATTAAATAAAATATTTGTTTTCGTTGTTATTGTTGGGCCGTTTCATTTCGGCCGACAAGAACTTTTACATTTTTCCAATTTTCACTATCAATATTTGAAAAAGTGTAAAAAATGGAATAAAATATTGTAAAATACACAAATAACAATATAAAATTGAAATATTAAAAGATAAAAATTGTTCTTTCTTTTTTTTTATTATTTTATTTAACTTGGCCATAACAAATAACGAAAATATGCAGAGGTTATAGACGTATTTTTACATTTTGTTGTGGCCAATAACTATTTGAGTTATCATTTAAATTAAATTTTTATTTATAAATATTTATTATTATTATCAATATTTTCTTGATATCTTTTTTGCTCATATTTATTGCTTCTTTTAAACAATATAAAAGAAAAAAATCAAAATTATAAAAAGCTCTATTATAAATTTTGTTTATTACCCTCCACCCCTTAACAAGCCATAGAGTCTCCTGACTTGCCTGCGTTATCTCTATATAAATATAAAACTTCAAATGTGTGTGTCTTCTGTCCTTGTTGCTGAAGCACTTCATCAATCTTTACACACATATTTGACCAAATTTTTATTTCCATTTTCATATTTGTTTTCTTTTTTTACGGTGCTCTCACAAATAGTTATTGAGGAGTATATTTTCAATTGTAAAAAAAAACTTTTTAAATAAGAAAATTTCATTTTCCTTTATTTTCATTATCATTCGTTTTTGTGTTAAAATGCATTAAAATTTTATTTTCCAAAGTATTGTGTTCTTTAATGGTAGCACCAAAATATGAACTTTCCGCCCACATTCATTTTATGAAGTACATAAATAAGTATGTATTTAAATTGGGGGAAATTTCAACGATTTCAACGTTAAAAAAGTTATTAAAATATAAAGAGTACAAATAATAGGCAGATGTCAGATGGACTGAGAAAACCTATCACTTGAATACAAAAATAAAAGAGCTATACTTGAACTAAATTAAACCAGAACAGAACAGAACTAGAACAGAACTCGAAAAGAACTAGAACAGACCTAGGACAGAACAGAACTAGAACAGAACTAGAAGAGAACTAGAAGAGAACTAGAACAGACTTGAACAGAACTAGAACAGAACTAGAACAGAACTAGAACAGAACTAGACAACAGAACAGAACTAGAACAGAACTAGACAGAACTAGAACAGAACTAGAACAGAACTAGAACAGAACTAGAACAGAACTAGAACAGAAACTAGAACAGAACTAGAACAGAACTAGAACAGAACTAGAACAGAACTAGAACAGAACTAGAACAGAACTAGAACAGAACTAGAACGAACTAGAACAGAACTAGACAGAAACTAGAACAGAACTAGAACAGAACTAGAACAGAACTAACAGAACTAGAACAGAACTAGAACAGAACTAGAACAGAACTAAACAGAACTAAAACAGAATTAAACAGAACTAAAAGAACTAGAACAGAACTAGAACAGAACTAGAACCGAACTAGAACAGAACTAGAACAGCAACTAGAACAGAACTAGAACAGAACTAGAACAGAACTAGACAGAACTAGAACAGAACTAGAACAGAACTAGAACAGAACTAGAACAGAACTAGAACAGAACTAGAACAGAACTAGAACAGAACTAGAACAGAACAGAACAGAACTAGAACAGAACTAGAACAGAACTAGAACAGAACTAGAACAGAACTAGAACAGAACTAGAACAGAACTAGAACAGAACTAGAACAGAACTAGAACAGAACTAACAGAATTAAAACAGAACTAAAACAGAACTGGAACAGAACTAAAACAGAACTAGAACAGAACAAGAACATAACTAGAACATAACTAGAACAGAACTAGAACAGAACTAGAACAGAACTAGAACAGAACTAGAACAGAACTAGAACAGAACTAGAACAGAACTAGAACAGAACTAGAACAGAACTAGAACAGAACTAGAACAGAAATAGAACAGAACTAGAACAGAACTAGAACAGAACTAGAACAGAACTAGAACAGAACTAGAACAGAACTAGAACAGAACTAGAACAGAACTAGAACAGAACTAGAACAGAACTAGAACAGAACTAGAACAGAACTAGAACAGAACTAGAACAGAACTAGAACAGAACTAGAACAGAACAAGAACAGAACTAGAACAGAACTAGAACAGAACTAGAACAGAACTAGAACAGAACTAGAACAGAACTAGAACAGAACTAGAACAGAACTAGAACAGAACTAGAACAGAACTAGAACAGAACTAGAACAGAACTAGAACAGAACTAGAACAGAACTAGAACAGAACTAGAACAGAACTAGAACAGAACTAGAACAGAACTAGAACAGAACTAGAACAGAACAGAACAGAACAGAACTAGAACAGAACTAGAACAGAACTAGAACAGAACAGAACTAGAACTAGGAATTAGACGAATCAAATTCTCTCCCTTTGTGATTTCAAATACAAACAAAAATTGAAAATATTTATTACCATCAAACAAATATCGGTTACTGCACAATATTCATAAAACATCTAGTTTTTATTTGTTTGATTTTAAACATTAAATATCAGCATATAACTAAAACCATATAAAATTACAGTTATTTGTTGGCGAAACATATTGAAATAATTAAATCAAAGGTATAATATTTGCGGCTATTGTTTATTAAATGAAATAAAATATTTGTGTAAATTGACACACCCACACTAATACTCTGAATATGTTTACATATATTTAGTCATATTTATAGAACATGTTTATACTATTACACCGACAATACCAATCAATCGTTTAATAATGTTACGATTAAAAATACCTAAAATGTTTTACAATTATTTATTTGCATACAATTTTATTGTTTAACAACAAACAACATTTAAATATGTGAAAAAGTATAAGGGAAGCAAATAGAACAGCAGTAAAATATCCGTTACATATGCGTTTTTAGGGTGAACCTAAAGAAAAATATCCGGTAGAATAAAAAAAACTATTTGGATTTATATTAGAAAATGGGAATATTGTGAACGTATGTTTTACAAAATGTTTTTTTTAACAAATTGTCTACAGAATTATTATTTTTCTGCGAACACCCTTTTTATCCCTTTAAGTATACATTACATTTAATTTTAACTCGCTATTGCATTCAATACTCTTCATCTGCATGTTTATTCCATTTGATAAATATTTGATTGTTTTGTAATTTAATAAAACAATAGATTTGTTGTTTTCTCTCTGTGTTCTGTTAGCAACCATTTATTTAAACCTCTTGCCGTTGTGATTTTTAACGCTCCCACATACGTTTGTGTGTCTGTGTGTGTTTTTTTTCCCAATATAGATTTATGGTTTTGAATTTAAACTATTATAGTCAAATTTATTATGGCTTTATTGTTGTTAATATGTAAATATGTATGTATATATGGACATATGTGTGTATTAGTTTACACAGAATACAATACAATTTAAATTTAAAACAATAGTTAAACCTAATAATAGCAATCACAGGTAAATAAATAAATTTAAAACTGATTAATTGTATATTATATTAAATGGACAATTTTATGATAAATTTTAGAAATTAAAGTATGATTTTGAAAAGTTGACCTGGTTATAGGCATTGACTATAACAAATTCAGTTTTACAGTTTACACTTTTGGGGAATTTACAGACACTTTTATTACAAGAAGCTCCACTATAACTTACTTAGTAATGCAGTCAATAGTTTGTCTCTCATTTTCCTACTCAACACAGTCTTCTTTTAATACTATACTCTTGCTTATTTACAACACTTTACTACTCTTTATTAATATCTTTGGCACTCACTTTTGTAGTCTTAACAATAGTTTTTTCGTTCATTATTTAATTACCATATAATTTATGTGTCCCTTTAAACTATTTACTAGCAAATTAGTCACGCTTTAATTTTATAAACAAATTTACTATTTTTAAGCTCTATTCTCTTAAGTATCACACATAAATACATACCCATGTAACCACTAATGAATGTATGTATTTATTTACTTGTCGCAAGTAAACTTGCCTTTACAACAATAAGTATAATGTACTAAATATATCTACACCGTGAAAACAATTTGCTAAGGACAATATTTTCACAATAAAAAAAACACCTTACAACTATAGAATTTCATTGCTATACTATTGCAGTTGTGCAACTTCTGTAGTCAACATTAACATCATATTATTTTCTTGCACTCCTTGTCGCCGTATGCGTATGTGAAACGTGATCCTTAAACTTTTGCTGTAGTTTTTGTTTTCTCCCTCATTTTTTCTCTCTTGTTGCAAATGACATTATTTTACATATTACGAGTGTTCGTGTATAATAAGCGTAAGTAAAAGTATAAAAGTAAGTACGAGTACTTTTGTAATTAAACAAATTACAACTATAGCAAATAGTACATACGCAAATTATAAGTTAGTGTGAGTAAAAAAAAAATGTACACAAAAAAATTTGCTTTATTTTATATGTCAGGCACGTGATATTTATAAAACAATTAAAATAGTGGTAAAGTTTAAAGGAGATAATTTGTAAATCATTTAAAGTTCAGACCGAACAAGGATTAATGAAGTTAAACACAAAACAGGGAGTAACTAAAGGTTCAGTTCTTGTTTAGTCAAAGTTCTAGTTCTGTTCTAGTTCTGTTCTAGTTCTGTTCTAGTTCTGTTCTAGTTCTGTTCTAGTTCTGTTCTAGTTCTGTTCGTTCTGTCTAGTTCTG